TTTTTTTCATTTTGTTATTTTTGTCTATTATTGGATAGAAAAAAAAAAAAACTACAAATAATCCAAGATTTTTTTGACTTCATTAAAAAATAAAATCGTTTTTGTAGGATGGAAACTTTTTGAGGTCAAACCCCCCCCCCCAAACTAAAGCAAATAAGTTTTTTATCCGACATCGATCTTTTGACGTCGTCCCATGATATAGCTTTTACATCACAATTAATCTCAATAGCTGAACAAAGACAAATATTAGGAATAATATTATTATCCCATATGCAAGCCAAGTTTTCATGTTTTTGTTTCTCCAAATGAATACTGAATTTTTAATTTGCTTTTTTTTGTGGCCTTGTCTTGAAAGAAATGTTATGTGTGGAACATTGCTCTCTGGGTTTAAGTGTTGGATAAATCAGGTTGTGATCAGCAACACAAAACTTGAGAATTCTGACAATTTTGTGTTAACAAATGACATAGATAATGGTACATAACATTTCAAAATTGGTATAGATTGTCATTCCAAAAAAAAATTCTTTGTGTCTGTTTTAATGTTTTTTTGCTCTTCTATTCAGACAGCCTGATATGTAAACAATGAGTTTCTCAAAAAAAAAAATTGCTTTGTCTAATGTGGAAAATGTATTACTTGAACATAGTCACAGTTTATCAAACATTATGCTTTTTAAACTTTAGTTACTGTCTTAGCTTACTCTTTGCAATGGCAGAACTGAGATGTTGATAACTGCTTTCATTTTGGCTCATAGATGTCCATGGTAGCATGCATTATCTCAATGGTACTTAACACACATTGACGTATGAATTCATACTGTAAATGCATTAATTATTCACTGGGTTTTAATTTCACTGTTTTTACTGATAAGTACCGGGGGCAAATCTACATGAACATGTACATTGTAAAATAACAATAAAACTCATTGTTTCCTTGACAAATTTTTGAAATTAGAACACAGTAAACATGCTCAAAAAACTTCAAAACAGTGAAATTGAATGTCAGTGAAAATAAATGGTTATACAGTACGATAATATAGAACATCACAGTATACAAGTCACATTTTTACTTTTAACAGGAACAGCATGTGCATGTAATAATGATATGCATTCATTAACAATTTCACAAAGAAACATTGCATTGTGAGCAAGGTTTTCAATATATTTGATTTGTTTTATTAAAGTCATTACAAGAAAGGAACTTGTGTGCGGTTTGCTGGTAGCGGTAATGAAGAAAACCGTAACAATAGTTATCCACATAAAGCATCTTTTGCACAACCATCTGGTATCTCCATAGCAAAAGAAGAACACAATTGTCTATTTATAGCTGACAGTGAGAGCAGTAGTATCCGAACTGTTTCCTTGAAAGATGGAGCTACGAAGTGTGTCGTTGGAGGAGCGAGAGACCCAATGGTCAGTATACATGTAGCAATAAAATAAGTGTAATAAGGTTACCCTGACTTACCTGTGAACACTAATATAGCTTAGTTTGTTAGTGTCATTACGTTCATGTGATGTGGTTTAATTGTGATGCTGATTCAGGGATTTTTCTAGAAAAAAACAAGAGAGAGCACTGCAATTTAGCGATGCCACAACTTGGGGTAGATAGGGTTCTCCCTACCAGGGTGTGGAGTTTTTGACTCCCGTGTGCGAAGCACAAAAAGGGAGTCTTTGCAGTTAGTGTGTCTGTATGTGTGTGTGTGTGTGTATGTGTGTGTGTGTGTGTGTGTGTGTGTGTGTTGTGTGTGTGTGTGTATGTGTGTATGATGAAC